AGCCAGGAGAGCTCTCATGCACCTTCCGATGTATGGTGAGGTGCTATGGGGCTTCTCCTTCAGACAAATGCTATGGGCTCGTTAGCTTGAAGGAGATTGATCAGCAGGGATGGGCAGATGGGATTTCTCTTTGACATCTTCTCTGAAGGAGCCCAGAGGTTCTGTGACTAAGAAGTGAACTGGTGACCCGCCTTTCTTCCCCTTCTCTGACTCAGAAAATGAAGTGCTGTTGTCTGCTTTAGCGTGGCATTTCTGCATGTCACGGGCACAAAAGAACAATGACCCATGGAGGCAGAAAATGCAGCAGGAGAAGCAAGCATGAAAAAGGCTTGGACATCACTTAGCTGTATCATCTGCATCTTGTCTGATATCATTAATGTCTCTAACTTTCCATGTGGTGTGTATGAAATAACAAGTAGATACACATCTCACAGGGTGGTTTTACCAAGCACAGGAGGTACAGTACACTCCTTAGCAGATCCTCACGGTACTATGGACCTGAGAAGTAACCACGCTAAAATCCTGTCCTGAAACTGTACAAAATAGGCTCTTATGTTCTGTGTTGGTACCTCTGCTTGCAAAGAACTGGGAGGAAGCAGGCTGCACCTCCAGGCTGTTAGAGGAACACCAGCAATATGTTATCTCCTTGAGTTAAGCTGCTCAGGGAAGATGGCAGTGTGTCAGGAATACTCCACCTATCATAGAATCATAGAATCCCAGACTGGTTTGGGTTGGAAGGGACCTGAAAGCTCATCCAGTCCCAACCCCCCTGCCATCAGCAGGGACACCTTCCACTAGACCAGGTTGCTCAAAGCCTCATCCAGCCTGCCCTTCAACACTTCCAGGGAGGAGCAGCCACAGCTTCTCTGGCCAACCTGGGACACTGTCTCACCACCCTCACACCAAAGAATTTCTTCCTCAGATCTCATCTAAACCTCCCCTCTTCCAGTTTAAAGCCATTTCCCCTTGTTCTGTTATTAAGGACTACCTAATGCAAGGGGAATTGTGATGAAGGGGCATTATTGTGGCAGAGCTGAGGCCACAGCTGGAAGCTGTGCAAGTCTGCCCATGCCTGTGGATGTGTGTACTGGGGGGCACTGGTGCTCCCAGCACGTGAACTGGTTAGAAGACAGCTGGATATGCAAGTGCCACCTGCACCTCTGATTGCGGTGTTGATACAGTCTTGGTTTTAAAGGAGGCTGTTTGTCTATCATACTGATCCCTCCAGCCTCCTGTCGTGCTTTCCTAAGCTGCATTCCCTTGTTTCTTTGTTTTCAGGAAAAGCCCTGTCTTACTTAAAAAATGATCTCATATAGAGCCGACCTCAGATCTTCCTGGTTTCCCAGGCGTGGAGCTGCTGTTCCATAGCACAGAGGTCTCTGATTCCTTGCTCTCTGTGGCAAACACCTACTTACTGTCTCTGAGGTTTTGTTCTTTGTCCATTCCTCTTTTTTTTTTTTTCTTTTTTTTTTTTTTCCCCCCTGATTCTCATTATTCTGGAATTGAAGTGGAAAGTAATAAGAGCAGGACAGCTGTCTCCGTTCCTCCTGACCAGTTTAATGGGTCTGTGATTTCATCTTATAGCTCTTAGCACTTGAGTTTCCTTCGTGCTCTCCCCTGCCTCTCACCGGCGTGTTACACAAACACAAGCCTGTGTGCAGTGACTGTGCATATTGTTCTGCACGTAGCAGTGTGAAGAATACCAGAGATACTGTCCACGTAATGAATAATCACTGGGCATCTGTGAAAAGTTCTTTTCTACTGTGATGATGCTTCAAAAAAAACCCCAAACCCAACAATAGATGAGGAAGGTTCTACTGTAAGTACGTCATATGAACAGGTTGTTTCCTCTACTGTTAAGAGTTTCTCTTGGAAAAAGGGTGTTACTTTCTTTTCCCCATGCTTGTGGAAATCATGGCCCAACACTGGCTGGGATCTGCCTTCCATAGGAGAACAAGGCCACTGTCCAGCTTTGACCAGTCCTTCATTACATAGCAGTATGCTGATGTGTGCAACAGGAAAGAGGGAAGTAAAAGAAATTGGCAGGCAGGTGTTCAGGTACTGGAACAATAAATGGTGTTATATTGACATAGAACCTTATTCTACTTGGTCTTTAGATTTTAACGATAAATGTGAAGCCAATCAAGAGTGGGTCCTGGGAGAAGATCGTATCACACGTGCACAATTTATTTTGTTTATTCACATTATCTGTTTGAACCTGTTTCTATTTCTTTCTCTGTCTCTCTCTCTCTTTTTTTTCAAAACAAAACTAGAAATGAACTTTAGGTGTAAAGAATCAGCTGTTAAGCACGTACAGGAAAGAGCAGTTTGTTACCTTCAGTTAGGTCATAGAGGGGAAGGGCTTAGGAACGGAAAAACTTAAATTCCCAAAGCACTTGCCTGTGAAGCCTTGTACTTACACATGTTCCTAGGATTTGCTCCTGACTGATTCCGTATGTCAGGAATTGCATTCTCATTTCCAGTGAGGTGGGTGAGGATGAGCAAGTTCTTTATACAACATAAAGTTCCTGTTGTTTACACGGATCCATCTCTGGACTGTTGGACTTACTTGAATAAGCCTTGGATAAAGATGTCTTGTGGAGTTACCTTTTCTATTTTACAGCACTAATTCCTTCTTTTCTTTTCCTTTACAGCTAGAACATATTCAGAAACACATATGGTATATGTAAGTAACACTTTTCAAATTCACTTTTGCATGACTGAATTATTGGTTCTGTTACAGGAGCTGATGTTCTAGTGATCTCTGAAGAGAGACTGGAGTTAGAAAGCAGCTTTCACACATGTGGAGAAAGGGGCAGAGGACAGAAAGGCATCTAATGGGTTTTTTGTTTACCCTTTGCTTCTCATATAATTTCATCCATATATATATATATATATACATATATATATATACACATATCAAGCCAGGAACTTTTTCTACGGTGGCCAACAATAATAAGATGTTCAGTCCAGCAACTTCCTATGTTAAAAAGATACCTGCAAGTGATCAGCAAAAAACCCCACCTCCAACTAACAGCCAGAGTTTAGTTTGCTATCCAAGTGCTACAGACAATCCCTCGTAATGTCTTCTTGACAAGAAAGCTTTCATTTGTTCCTTCTTGGCATCTTGGCTTTTCTCTGAAGTAGAAACAAAAATTATGATATTGATAAGTAAGCACCTGTGAACAAGAGCTTTCCTGTCTCATAATCCCTCCTCCTCCTTCTTCGCAGCAAGCTAAGAGGCTGCTTCTGACCTTGTAACCTGTTGATGTGAGAGTAGTTCTGTGACTTGATTAAAAGCAGCAGTCTTGACAGTGAAACAGGAGGTCTGTGAGAAAAGTACGTGCCTGTCTAGTGGTTTGGGTGTAAGGAAGATTGATGGCTTTTAAAAGTGACCTTGCACTTTGCGTAGACTTAATCGTATTTCAAGAAACCTAAGTAAATAACATTTTTTTTATACTGACAATAACTTAATCAAACTAAGGAGAATAATTCACATATTAAACAAGGAAATGATACTTTGATACATGTTTCTCAGGGTCAGCATACCTACAGGTTCCCAGCTGGGTGAGAAGGAAAGTCTTACCTTCATAATCCTATCCTTGCTCTTAGAAAATAACTTGAGGATGATATGAACTGATATTTAAGCCTGTTACCAGGAAAAAAAAAACCAAAACACTTTGTTTTGATTTTTTTTGTGTTCTCTAATTCTATCTTATGGGCAATGTTCACTTCTGGATTTGTCTGACTTCAGGAGGACCTGAGGGCATTCAACAGTTTGGTGAATAATACCATTTTTTTTCTTGGTTCACCTGGAGTGGTGGCAGCACTCTGCCCAGGGCTTTTTCGTGTGCTCTACAGTTACCAGTTGACGTGGCACCTTTTGAAACCAAAGAAAGACTGGAGTGTTGTTTACTGCAGATATGTTTTTTAAAACTCTCATGGATAAATGTAGGAGAAATGGAGGGGGGGAATCTCTAAGTGTAATCTCTGAAATACCCCTTCTCTAATGTCCTACTAGCAATTGCAGAAGTAAATGCTGCTTATATCAGACTGGACAGCTGATCCCCTCTGTTCACCATGGAGCAAAATCAGATGACTTTCCCTGTGCTTCGATCAGAACTGGAATAGGAAATAAAATGAAATGTCATTGATCACTTATGTTATTATTCTAACCCTCCTCAAGATACTTGCCTGGAAGTTTTCACTTGTTGGAGGACTCTTGTCCCACGCTCACATGCACAATTAAGCAGGTGTTATTTCATGACTTTATTCTAGATTTGGAATTTGAAAATTCCTTTATTTGCAGACATAAGCGCTTGAACATTTTCGTGTACTTCTTGATGAAGGTCAGACTCTCTGATAATTGACTCACTGAACAGTTTTTTACCCCAATGGAAACAGCATCTGAGGCTTTTTTCCAAAGTACAAACTGAGTTTTGCAAAAACAAATCTCCCCTAGACTCCCAGTGTAGTCAATGCAAAGAGAGAAAGGCTCTTCCAGAAGTCTGTTCAGATTGCCTAAAACGAGGTTTCTGCTCAAAATAGCTTTTTAATGAGTCTCTCTCTGATTTTCTCTATACTGGCCATGGATTGACCTAAGGAGGTTAACCCCCTTTGGCTAAATTTAGTCTGTGAATAACCCTGCCACCTCTAAAACTCAACTGCTTTCATCTGGTAATATTTCACAGCCTCTTTGCATTCGTTTTGCATGGAAATATTGATACTGGCGAAGAAGGAAGGGTTGTCAGTGTTTTACTCTATGGCTGTTTTGCTCACGTCTTTAATTTCTTCTTTGTTTCATGTAACACTACTATTTTATGTGAAATCTTCATTCTTTGTCATGTATAGGTTACTGACCTGAAAGTTGTACTCAGAACATATAAATGATTTCACTTAATTCTTCAAATAAATATTAAGTCTACTGTACAACTGAGGAAAAGATTTAATTGCAGACTAGGCAGACAGAGAAAGAGGTCTTGAAAGTTGAAATCATGATTCACAAGCCTAAAAAAAGGAAAAAAAGAAACCAAAGAGAAACCTTTCATCACCAACCTCCAGTTCTTCTTGCTCTCCCACCTAAATTAATTCAGTTAGGTTTTTTTAAACCTTTTTAAATGAAAGTATTTATTTTTACCTCAAGGGCAGGTTATCATAAATCCGCAAATAAACAGCATTATTTTCACTTTTTTTTTTTTTTAAATAAAGCAAGAGGGCAAATAAAATTAGCTATTAGGGTAAATACATACGCCTGGAACACTGAATTATTGCCCTGATTGTAAAGGTACCAAATTTAGTAAAATCAGAAAAAATGATACCTGGACCTGTTCTGCTTGGCTTTGCACTGATGCAAATAAGTGCTGCTATAAGTGATGCAAAAAGGCTGCTATAAGATCTCCCCAGAGCCTGGAAAAGACAAGGCTCTGGGGAGATCTTATAGCGGCCTCCCAGTACCTGAAGGGGCTACAAGAAAGCTGGGGAGGGACTTTTCCTAAGGGCAGTTAATGACAAAACAAGGGGAAATGGGTTTAAACTGAAAGAGGGGAGGTTTAGATGAGATATTGGGAAGAAGTTCTTCACTGTGAGGGTGGTGAGACACTGGAACAGGTTGGCCAGAGAAGCTGTGGCTGCTCCTCCCTGGAAGTGTTCTCGGCCAGGCTGGATGAGGCTTTGAGCAACCTGGTCTAGCGGAAGGTGTCCCTGCTGATGGCAGGGGGGTTGGGACTGGATGATCTTTAAGGTCCCTTCCAACCCAAACCATTTTATGATTCTATGAAATGTGCATCTTGGTGAGAGTCACGGGGGGAATTTCATGGAGAGAGTGAAGAAGTCTGCCCTGGTCTGGAATCCCGGCCGTTGTACACACTGATCTTCACAAAAGAGGACGGGTTTTAACGCAGCAATTACATTCATCTGGGCCTTTAAAAAAATCGCCCTGATTTGCAGCATTCATCCTGTGACATTTTTTGATGTCTGTGTGGGCTGAAAAGCAACAAATATGTCACTCTCTGCTAGACTGAGAATGGAGCAGGTGATCCAGCCGTGGCAATCGCAGCCCAGACCCGCTGCTTCTCGATTCCCGCAGCACTGAACTGCGGTGCCAGATGACAAAATGCCTCTTTGCAGATTTTACTTGTATCTGATGTGGAGGTGGGAAAACTCCTGACTGTGGGGCTGAGGCTGACCAGGTGCAGGGAGGAAGGAAAAGCCACTTCTCAGTGCACAGAAGGTGGCAAACTGTGCTCTCTAGAAATGGCTCCCACGCTGATTGATACAGAAGCAGCTTGCAGGTGATATTCTGCTATGGACCAGGGGAACGAAGAGCCACGAAGATGGTTAAGGGAGTGGAGCATCTCCCTTATGAGGAAAGGCTGAGGGAGCTGGGGCTCTTTAGCTTGGAGAAGAGGAGACTGAGGGGAGACCTAATTAATGTTTACAAATATGTTAAGGGCAAATGTCATGAGGATGGAGCCAGGCTCTTCTCAGTGATGCCCAATGGTAGGACAAGGGGCAATGGGTGTGAGCTGGAACACAGGAGGTTCCGCTTAAACTTGAGAAAAAACTACTTTACAGTGAGGGTGCCAGAGCCCTGGGACAGGCTGCCCAGGGAGGGTGTGGAGTCTCCTTCTCTGGAGACATTCAAGACCCGCCTGGACACCTTCCTGTGTAAAATTGTTTAGGTTCCTGCTCCGGCAGGGGGATTGGACTGGATGATCTTTCGAGGTCCCTTCCAATCCCCAACATTCTGTGATTCTGTGATTCTGTGAACTAGTAGGAAACCCAGATTTTCTGGAAATTGTCAAAAACAATAATTAGAATCATAGAATCATAGAATGGTTTGGGTTGGAAGGGACCTTAAAGCTCATCCAGTCCCAACCCCCCTGCCATCAGCAGGGACACCTTCCACTAGACCAGGTTGCTCAAAGTCTCATCCAGCCTGGCCTTGAACACTTCCAGGGAGGAGCAGCCACAGCTTCTCTGGCCAACCTGGGCCAGTGTCTGACCACCCTCACACCAAAGAATTTCTTCCTCAGATCTCATCTAAACCTCCCCTCTTCCAGTTTCAAGCCATCACCCCTTGTTCTGTCACTCCCTGCCCTTGGCCAGAGTCCCTCCCCAGCCTTCCTGGAGCCCCTTCAGGTACTGGGAGGCCACTAGAAGGTCACACCCTCCCCAGCTTTCTTGTAGGCCCCAGTTCTTTTTAATCTCTTTCTATTATCTTAAGGACATCTGCTTGTAACATAACGAATGATTAATTAAGTCAATACTTTTTAAAAGTGAACTGCAGATCATTAAGAAACAAAAACACTCAGCTGCTATTCAAAGGTCCATCCTGCAAGAATTTATCTTAATGACAAGGTCATCACTGGCTTTAGCAGTGCAAAGTTATGATCTAATCATTGCTTGCTACCTGCTGAGAGCTAGATCCTGATCCTAAGAGGTAGGTGTGGCTACCTCTTAAAGACAGGCACTCAAGGAATAAGATGTCTCTTAAGTTGAACAGGGATTTTCAACTCTAGCCCTTAGTTTCAGGACCCTGGTATCATTGCAGAAGACATGGACACTTCTGCAAGGCTCCAAGGAGGTGTCAGAAGCTGTGTTTTAGTGGTTTGACACACAAGACCATCTTTTCAGTGCTTCAAGAGAAGAGAAAATGATAATTTCCAAGGAGTCTTTCTGCAAGTGATGTCCCACACACACGGGTAACAGAGCAGAAGCCTTACAACTGCGTTTCAGCTTGCTTCAAAAAAAATTGCAAGTAGCACCCAGCAATCTCCTGTGATTAAGGTGCAGCATGTAACTGTCCTGTCCTAGCGTCAGAGTCCTGGCTGCAGTGACTTCGTGTTGCCTTCTTACCTTGGAGGAGAGAATCTGCACTGGCTCTCTTTTTGGTACGCTGGCTGAGACCTTGAGCTCATGTGTATGATCCTATCAGAGTTACTTTCTAACCTACCTGAGAAAAATTAGGGGCATTTGAGTTGGAGTTCCTTTTTCTCTGTAGGTACTTGGATAGCTCACATCTGAGCCCAGAGCATTTTAAGCTGTGCGAGTAAGTTCACAGGTTGTGTTCACCTTATTTCTTCTGCCAGCATCAAAAGGAAGAATCTCTGCTCAAGCACAGCCCCATATACATCAAACTCTGCCATCTGATGTGGTTGAAATATCCCCAATTCCTGTTGCCCACCCTGGGAACCTGGACCCAACAGTTACACATTTATATCACATAAAGGGAGGACAGAGTAGGAAAACCTCAGCATCGGAAGGGAGGACCTCACCCGAAGAGTATGAAAACCTTGGCATTGCACAAAGCATCCACTGAGAAATCAGGGTAGACAATTTCTCCAGTACCACCACTGCCAAACCCACCTCTCTGGGTGGACAGAGTTTATAGAAATTGTTCCCTGCCCACCTAAACAGAATCGAAGGATATTCAGCATGCCTGCAATATATATCATTCCGTAGGTTATAGATACCCTGACACCTTGACCTGTTTCGTACAGGCAGGGCCTTTAATTGCAACAAATAATCAATATTGCCCCATTCTAGTGAATGGGATGGTATAATTATGTAGAAAGCTTGTGTTAACTACATTTAAAAGAATAATATGCTCTACTGCTAAGGGTGTATTCCTGGGTCTGCCACTGACCTCGGGCATCACACTTGGGCTACGGTTTTCCAGTTGCATGTTTGAAGAGAAGCAGAGATTGTTGTATGTGGGTGTGGAAATGAACAGCCTGCTTTAACCAAAAAACCCTTAAAAAGGGTCAAGTGGGGACCTGAACACTGAGGTCTCTTAATCACATTGGAAGCTTTAAAGAAAGGAGCTGCTGCAGTGCTGGTTGTAATCAGAACTGGTGAAAACCAGCGGTGGTTTGCTCGCAGCTCCTTCTTGGAAAGAGAATCATTCAGCTTGCACTTTTCAGCCTGATAGCCTCAGGTTTGGCCTGCTGATGAGACAGCATCTCAAAAACCATGTAGTGTTTATAAATGCTTGGCATTAGGACACTGAACAGCTGCTTAAATTATGAGGGCACTGGTAAGTGAAGTTCCTACTGCCTTTCTGACTGAACTCAGACGTTTCTCATTAAAGACCCAAATCCACATGGTGCTGGTCACTCTTAGCCTTCACGGTGGTTTCTTCTGAAAAGAATATCTGTCTGGTTGCGAGCTCTGGTCTCTCGGTGGAAGTTTAACAAGCTATTTCCATCTGTTGCTGCAGGCTGTGTTTCAGAGTATGGGTTCATTTGTGACTCATGTTTCTTTTCTCTCCTTCTTTCCCTGCCCCCTTTCTCTCTCTCATCTTCTCTCCTCTGCAGAGGGGGTAAGAACGAGCCAGAACCAGAGCAACCAATCCCTCGAAAGGTGCAGATTCGTTCTCTGCCTTCCTTGGAGGATATTGATCCAGACGTGTTAGATAGCATGCACTCGTTAGGCTGCTTCCGTGACCGAAATAAACTCTTACAGGACTTGTTATCGGAAGA